ATTTTTCAAGACGGTCTGCCAGACAGGCCAGATTTTGTAAGCGTATTAAACATCTATACATACAGTAAATACATTCCTATCATTGGCAATTTCTCTAGTGGAAAGCGGAACTTGGAAGTTCCCCATAGTTTATACAACATATTGCTTGCGGCCCCCTTTTGTAAGACATTTTATATACGGAAGACGCATAACTAATTCATTTTCAATACGCTTCCAGCCTCTCAACACATCACTGAAACAGTCTGAAGAGATGCTTGATATTTTTAAAGAGCAGTTAATGAGGGTTAGAGCAAAGTCCCGGAGTTTATGAAGTATACCACTGAAACAGCCAAATGAACTACTTTTATTGCTTTATCTCAAACTAGCATTATTTTTTCTTCATTTCTTATAAAAAAAAAATACCATGCAGGATGGGGTTTGGAAGGACATTCTTAAAACAGTTCATCGGTTGTCTCTCTATGTATGTCCAAACTTCATAGAATCCCACCACACTCCTGACCGGATATAACCCAAAACACCAGGTGGGTGCTGTAATGATTGCGGGTGCCACCGCAAATCAAGTATCTCTGTATCTCATCGCCTAAGTCAATTATTTATCTTATCTGGAACATACCGCACTCCTGAATTTCTACATAACATAGGTCTCAGTGCTCAAAGTGTGGAATAGCCCCAGGTTCATTGTTCCATCTGTTGTGGTGTTGCCCGAAATTAGTAAACCATGGAATGGGCTCTAGCTGTGCTAATGGGACAATTAAAAATCTGGGATTTTCATGTAGATTTATTCAGGAGGGCTTGGCAGGGGGGGGGAGGGTATACATTTTAACTGGAACTTCCTTTTGTGTCACTGGTACAGGAAGAGAAAGGAAGGCTCTCCAATAGTATACAGACAACAAAAAAGCCCCAGCAAGGGTTTTAACTATTTCATACTCATATCGAAAAAAATAATACAAAGTTTGGGTTACTTTTAATATATTTTAAACTGAGCCTGTTACCACAGGATCATTTATAAACAAAAAGCAAGTTAGAAAACAAAAAAAAATAATATATTTACATTTCCAGTGGCCTGTGTGTTAAAAAAGTCATCACTCTTCATTTTCTTACTCCACTATTTCTGGCTTCTTTCTCCCTATTCTTCTTTTCTATTTTGTTATTTGTCTCCTGTGGTGTCACCCCTGGATTTTTATAGCCAGCTCCCTACTCTACTGTCAACAAAACGTAGATGTTCACATCACTAGTTTAATTGATAACTCAGCTGTGCCTGGGACCCTTCATGTCTATTGCTACATTGGATTTCCCTCCCTGAGGCTGGGTTCACACCACTTTCTGGACCAGATCTGGAACATATTGCTGCAATTTGATTTTTTTTTTTAGCTTAAAATGGTCTTACAGGTGCGTTCCATGCGTTTTTTATGCATTTTGATATGTTCCAGTGCATTCCAGACATATTAGGACAAGCAGTATTTTTCTGCTCTGGAACGGACTGTGTTGGTGGGAACAGAGGCCAGAAATAGCATAGGTATACATTAGGATGCATTTTGGGTCCGGAAACAGTCTGGTCCAATGTGGAGGAATTCTGGATGTGGTGTGAATGGACCCTGGGTACAGGGATTTCTAGTTGGGTCCTGGCACTACCAATATCCGTGGCTTGGGCATCCCTTCTTTCTTTGCCTCCCATTGGACACGTTATGGGAGTCTCACACATGGGACACAGTAATGTCTACATAATGTCTTTACTTTTCACCTGCCTTGTGTTACCAGATAGCACTTACCGATGGCATGTGATACTCTGTATGTTAGGGTGATTTTTTTTTATTGTACTGTTAATTCTAAAAAATTGCAATACAAAAATTTAGGTGAAACATGTAAATGAAAAAGCCACCACTCTGCTGTTTTCCAGCCTCTGCAGACATGTAACCCGTTAGGTGGGTCAAATACCTAGTTGCCCCTGCCATGGGCTGTGGTTCCTCCCATCGATTTGTACATCATGTACAAGCTGGCAGGAGAAACCACAGCATGCAGCATGGGAAGCCAATATTCTACTCCCCTAATATGTGGAATGCATGCAGCAGTGGAAAGCAGCAAAGTGGTGGCTTTTCAACACACGGGCCACCAAAAAGGTCTCTTCTTTCACAGACTGCCTTTAAAAGTGATAGAGTCACATTCATGATATCTTTGTTTAAATCAGATATTATTATGCACAGTTGCTGGAACACTAAACCACCGGCTGATCTGCAACAATGGAGTCTTACATCCCCGATATATTCTTTATGTGCAACACTGAATAAATAACTACATCCAGCTGTAAGAGAATTATATCCTTACTAGGACCTTGTAGAAGGGGCAGAGTCACAAATTAACACAGAGCTATCTTGCCATTTGCGTCTTTGGAAAAGCTGGCAGGTGATTCAACGGGTGATTAGAATGAATTTCATCTTCAATCATGAATTGTTTTATTTTCATTGGTAAAATGGCGCCCAAAGTTAACCTAGACATATACAGTACAATGCATTTTAAGCAATCTCTGTGCCTTTGATGTTTAACTCATTCCCCGTTGCTAATCAATTTAATAGTGTTCATTCCTTCATACTACGGTGCGAGGCACGCACAATTAATTTAACAACATAATTTAATTTTATGTCACAACGTGAGCTCATCGAGACAGCGATCCGATCCGGGTCAGAGGACGCTGAACGCTTCCCGACCAGAATCTCTTTCTTCTGTTCCAAAAAATACAGAAAGCAACGGAAGAACAGCCTTATTAAAAGCACAGATGATATATTGCATTATTTCATAGTAATCCATGTAGCATGTGGATCTCGTGCTGAGAGACGGAATAATCAACCAATAAAGACTATTCCCCGGTGAAGCCCAGAGTACGCCAATTAATTACATTATAAGACAAGACAAAAGAAGTTAAAGATGAATGCAAATCACTGTGACAGTTCATAACATATATAACCAAGTAGGGAAAAAAAAAAGCTATTTTAAATAGCCGTCCACTTGAAAGCATTCATTTTGTTTAAGCTGGAGTGTGATTTGGGCAGTATATCTAATAAAGCTCAACTCCAAGCATTTTTTTTTATCTTTAAAAAGATCCCCTGGGCCCTAGCTGCAGAATTCACTTTTAACTATGAGTTGTTGTCCTCAGTACCTCTTCTTTGCCAAAAGATGTCCCCAGTCTTCTGGGTTGCATGATGCCCAGCATAGGGGTGAGTCCATACTGTCAGTGCATGATGTCATGACTGTACTCCCCTTGAGGGAGTGATATCACAGTACCCTTCATTCATAGCACACTGGAATGCCACTCTCTGCGTTAGTAAGGACACCCCAGCCAGGAGAAGAGGCGAGAAGGAAGAGGACCATGTGGTGTCACGTGACTGGCCTGAAGACTTTGGAAAATGTAGGTATTACAACTCAAACAGTTCTGCCAATGAGGAACACAAGGGGAGTTGATTGGGGATGGGGTGGGGGTGGGTGCCCAGAGCCCAGATTTGAAATGAAAAACATTAGTATATCTGCAACTTAGTTTGGAAGATTGAGCACATTGAACCTCCACTAGCGATCTTCTTCCCTTATTGCACTGCAGCTGCTTTGCAGGATTAAGGGCAGCCAAAAAAAGACTTCAAGAAAGAATCCCATGATAACTAAAATGGCAACATTCAGATAAACATCATGGTACAGGGCTCCATATGGAACTAAGTTACCCTCTTTCCTAAATAAAATTAGTAGATAGATGATAGATAGATAGATAGATAGATAGATAGATAGATAGATAGATAGATAGATAGATAGATAGATAGATAGATATAGATAGAAATATAGATAGATAGATAGATAGATAGATAGATAGATAGATAGATAGATAGATAGATAGATAGATAGATTAGGATTAGTAGATAGATAGATAGATAGATAGATAGATAGATAGATAGATAGATAGATACAGATCCCTGCCTCCCTTGGCCAGCTGTCTTGTACCACCCCATCATGATGTTGGCTTTCTAGAGACCTCCCTAGGCCAACTGGCTTATACCACCCCATTCTTACCCAAGTAGATTGAATAGCCTTAGTGTCACACTAACAAGGTCAGAAATCACAGGTACACAAGGTACACCCTCTTTTGGAGGAGTAAACCTAAAGTCGACCCCCAGGAGAGGAGGGCAAATAGACACACTCTTGTTGGATGGCTCTAGATGATAGACTCAATGGGGGCGAGCTGTAAGTGCATAGTATACTATTCACCAAAGAAAATGTGCAAGCTAGCCATGGGCAGCAACAATGAGGTCCTAACCAGATGACAATAGCATGCTGGGTGGCATTATAGGAACTGTTATTATATATGAAAATATGTAAATGACTTTCAGTAGCATGATGTAAGGGTGATTGGCTTTTAATATAATTGGACCTTTTTGAAAGGCTGCTGATGTGATGCCAAATGGTTACTATATTTCAGCAGCTTGCATGAGCATCAGTCATTCTTCCACATGCCTGGCCTGTACAGGGAAGATGCGGTATTTGCAGTACATTCTCTGGTGTTCCTGCAATATTCTGCTGACAGGAAGTTGGATCTGTGTCAGGTTGACTCATAGGGAATAATATCTAGCCATGCAAAGACCCCTACCCTACCTTGCCTTTGAAGTGCCCAGACCGTACCCACCCATGCTGATTTTGCAAAGAAAGCTAAAGGATATCAGCTCTGTGCTGCCCTCAACAGGGTAAAAAAAAATGTATCCTGTCTGCATCCAACTGCGGTCATCCGGACCCGTACTGATGTGCAGTTGGGGTGTGTGCATGACAGCGTACAGCCACGTCCTCCCATAGGGAAGAACCGGCTGCTGCACGCAATGACACGCAGCACCCGTTCCTCCTGGGATCGTCAGTTTACAGGCATGCACACCCCGTGTGAGCCCCATGTGAATGAGGCCTAAACCAAAACTGTCATTACAATTACTTTGTGCTGTACAAAGAGGGTTTAAAAAAGAATTGAAATAATATCTTACCTCCAGAAAATGTTCTGCCTGTTGTTCCCGGTCCAGCTTTCGTGATGTTGTAGTGATCAGACCTAGATGAAAGCAAAGAAGCCATCATTCAATTTTTTTCAGATCATCAGAAACTTGGTTAAGTCATTTGCAGCTGTCTGAATAGCACAATCTACGCCTCTTAGATCAATGCACAGCCTAATTTCCATCATTCTTTGGACAGTGAAGGCTGTGCCATTGAATTATTCAGTGCATAGATAAGAGACACATACAAAGCAGATATGCTTTCCAAAATAGCTGGGTTAGAATAGTTAAAGCTACACTCCAGGGAAATAGCTAATTCCTCAGTTGAAATACAGATATGTGATGTGTCTTTACTGCCACAAAATATGCAATTTGGTGCAGCAAATGTAGTAATCAGTTTACCCCTTCCAGGTAGTATAGCCAGGTTGGTTACCCCAATACGTTCCAGTGCATTTAAGCAATACATCTTGGATTCTGCCCCAACCGCCCCAGCCTGCCAATTAGACAGTGCAAGACATAGTCACGCTGGCAAGGTTAACACTCTGCTTTCTCATTCTGTCAGCAAATGTGAAAGTCCCTATTCACAGCTGGACAACAAAGAGTTCACTTCACATTGCGCCTGCATTTTTTATACGCAGAGCCTGCAGTGTCCTATTGAGTTCCCTCTGCTTAATGTTGCAACTACAGGCTTGTGAATCAGCAGTGACAATGCAGACAGCCATGCCCCATGCAACATTTTTCATCCCACTGTAGTGCAATCAGACGCAGCCTACATGAGATTGGCAACTCTGCTCTGAATTCAGAAGCAGTGCAGCAATGTTGCCACCCCATCACAGGAAGCTGAATTAGGTAGACTTTACTGGCAGAATCAACAGGTAATTGTGAGACTTTGCAGAGGGACTTAGGCCTCCTTCACACTTTGCACACACCTGCAGCATGCATAACTGCACGGCGCATTTGTGCACATTTGCGTCGTGTTAATCCATTCATTTTGATGGGCTGCCACACACATGACAAATGCAGTAAAGAAGCTCATGCAGCATTTTCAGTTTAGACCACATGTTTTTGCGCATATGACCAGTTGCATTTGGCTTGCCATTAACAAGTAACCGCACGCAACGCCAGAGTGTGAACGGAACATAAGAGAAAACTAAGTGCAGATGTCATTATAATTAGGCGCTAATGCACAAATCTTTTTAAATAGGAGCTCATAGTTCTACATTAAGCAGCTAAGTTGATTTGTTGTAATAAAGGAGAAACAGAGGCTAATACTTGTAATTATTTTAAGATAAACACTGTAATAATAATTCTGTCTGCTCAGTGAAAATACATTATACTTTCCCTTTAATACACTTGTAAAGAGTAAATGCTGAAAATGTATATACATTCAATAGGATACATTCAAATATTCCCAACAGGACAATAAAAATGCGGTTGATGGAACAAATAATATTTTAAAAGTTTCATTCATAAAACGATAATTTTTTTATGATTCTTTTGAAATGTGTAAGGTACATTGCACGAAGCTTTTGGTTTTCAGACAATGATCTGTTCTGAAAAGCTCAGAGTAACCACAGGGCAAGCTGTCCGAGAAATAAACTTCCCAACATAGAGAAATGGAAATGTCAGGAGTTAATGTGCCAACTGCATCTACTTAGTTTTGTTAATTCCTGTGTTGTAACCTTTTTCTGTGGCCATTCCTTTAAAAAAAGCATCTACTGCTATTGCTGACTAGATAACATGATTGCCAAAGCCAGGCAGTCACCTAGACTCAGCTTGTCAACCTCAGGCGTCAACCACTACAGCTTGTGGATGGGACTGTCTGACTTCCTGGTAGAAGATGTGGTTGACAGTCAGTGGAAGGATTGTCCTAAGTGTGTGGAAGAGAGCATAAGCAACCAAGACTAGCTGGGCGTTGAGATAATGTGGTTCTGGGTAAGGAGAAAATGATGGAAGAGAATTAATAATTGAATTTGATTGTCAAAATACTATGGAGAGGGGGAGTTCAATGTTAAATCTATTTAAGTCACCTTGGCACATATTTTCTGGCCACATTAAGTAGGGATGAGAATACCCTGAGCTGTGAAGGAATTTACAAACTCCAGGGCCGATGTGGATGTCTTTGCTCCCTTTAGAACTTTTTTTGTTCCCATCAAATTCTATGGCCACCCAAAAGAAGCTTAATGCAAGTCAACTGCACCTGCAAAGAATTCTGAATGATTTCAGCAGCAATCAAACTGGGGTCAAAAGCAAATTGAAATTGCCCATCAAGGACCATCGACACAGGCCCCTAATCAGCCTGACCACATGATTTTACCACCGGCCCGTGCGGCTTTTATCTTTTGCCAACATGCCACACACCCGCCCACAATCGTACGATCCTCGGCGGGTTTTTGAACATGTTCATAAGATAAAAGTCGTGCAACCTTACAGTAGGAGAGGTCGCACGCCTTCCACACACCTTGCGATAATCGTACGATTGCGGGATTTCCCGGGATTATCGTACGATTATCGCAAGGTGTGTGGGCACCTTAACACAGCACAGCAATTCATGGAAAACTGCACTCTGGAAAGGCAGGTTGGAGGACCCTGTATGTATTGTAGGCATTCATGACTGGAAAGAACCTTTAATGTAAAAAAAATCCAATACAATTGTGGTTATTACTTAAAGTGGACCATTATGTAACTTTACAAGCCTGCATGAATACATTCAACTGTATAGTTTTTCAAAATAGCTCCACTTTTTAACATTAAGAAGCAGTCCTTGATCTCTGGTCGATTGACTTTGCCTAGGCTGAAATGATGTTTTCAGTATCCTGCAGGCAGGAAAGAAGCATTTCATCCATATCCTTCACATCAGTGATTAATCGGACTGTACACTGCAACTCTGCAGCTATTTACAAGAAGAGTGGCTGTGTCAGACATTACGGCCCAGAACTATATAGGCATTTCAGCCCAGTATAGCCCATTATGCCTGTATGGGCAGCCCAGAACTGTATTGGCATCAGAATTTACAAACCAGCAACTCCAAGACTGGGAAGCAGATGTTGACCTTGGATAATGGCATCATCTTTCTTTCAGGGGGAGTGCTTTGATCTCTGGCTGGAATTGGGCTTTAATTTGGTAAAAGTTTAACTGCACCTTTAAGACTCTTCGAGGTCTACTATTTCCTCTTTTGTCACAGCCCCGAGTCCACTCACAAGCGCTGCCGTCCATAGAGTGCCTTTTAATTACACACATATTTTCTGCTTCTAAATTAAGCAGCAAACTTCATTTGAAAGCTGCTATCTGCAATACAGTGCGTTCCAGATGGCGCCGCTTCACGTGCCAGAAAATAATCATGGTGTATAGTTGGTTGTGTGTGTGTTGGAGAATAGGTTATTTTCCTTATTTCTCACATATTGATTGCGGCAGGAGGGAAGTGCACTACTTAACGCTACCAACAAGCACGTTACTGACAAACCCAACTTGTGCTCAGTCTTATATTATAGTCTTTATATCTGGGTGACAAAAATAAACCAGCTCAGTGCTAAGTAAGATTTCAGAGACTAAAAGGTCTATGGCACCACATTTGATAAAAGGCTTCCAATTACGGCAGTTAAAGCAGCAGTGACTCTTTTTGTATTTTTTTTTTTAATCCTTAAACTGTAACAGTTTTTAGTCGGTTCTTTTTATCAATCATGTTTAAAAACGGTTTTATTTTTATTATTTGTGAATAATTGATAATACAAAAAACTAATATTACAAGGTGTATACAGAGTTTGCAAACCATGCTGTGCTTTCTAATAAGAAAGCCCAGCATTGGCTTTATGCTTTTTAGCAGATTGTGTTAATTGAGTCGTTATTGCTGCGTAATTGTGTTAATTGTGTTAATTGAGTCGTTTGCCTATAGCCAAACCTTTTTCAGCATTAGTTCCCTTGTTGATCAAAGGAGGACATTTAAAAATGTACTCCTGTGGCCCAAAACTCAGCATAAAGCAGCCATATACAGGTGTATTTTAAGGTTGAGGTCAGGATTCTGTGCAGGCCTTTCAAGTTCCTCCACATCAAACTCATCCAGGGCCGCAATTAAAAATCATGGTGACACATGCATCCTACCTGACAGTGCCCCCAAACCAAACCCCCCTCCCCCCCCCCATCAGCAGGGAGGCTAGGTGTTCACCATAAGGTGGAATAACTCAGCAATAAGCCAGAGCTCAGGCCAGGTTTTTATAGCCAGGGGAGGTAGGACCACCCCCTGGTCACCAAGGCAACCAGGAGGCCTCCCTCCCCGGGAACCAATGGCAGGCGAGGAAGATAGAAGGTGTGTACTGGGAACCTCCCCCAGCAAGGCTCACACCTGATAGCTAGATGATGCAGGAACACTATGCTCCCGGGGATGCGCGCGCAGCCTGCGTACTGCGCACACGCCGCGTGACTCGCGCACCCGCACCTCGGGCACCAGGTGTTCTACCAAGCTGAAGGGGAACCAGTGCCCTGCGCCGTGCCCGCGGTCCCCGAGTAGGGGTAACACCCCCTGCTTCCTGACACCATACACTTTAATTAAACAGAAACACTTCTCCTAGACCTCCTAGAAAAACACAGAAATTAGTGTGGTCAGTAATGATATACCACATACTAAATTCTAGTACTAGTACTCGGTCGTTAAGTGAGGAATACATGTACTGTGGAAGCGTAATAGTACACTGACAGTACACAGCTATGCGTAACTGAAGACTTAGGAGGTGTCACCTACGTACCTGTCCAGGCATTGGTTCTAGCATGTCAGCTTTGTGCAGAGACTCTACTACAGCTTTCAGCAGTATCATAGCTCTGTGCATGTCTGCAAGATTGCCTGCACAATCCACCCATCAGGTCACCACGGGGGTATATGTGTATATACTGTATATAAGTACTATAGATTCAGCCGAGCAAGAAACACACAAAGTAATTCCTGTCTCGTTGAACACTAATTAAAAAAAAACCTGTCATAGCATATAAAATGGGTATACGTGTAATTTTGCAGTTTAGTGTTGTTAGCAATTGCTTTCAATCTACAAACAGTCATCATTTTCTAAAT